CTACCCTAACTGTGACTGAGGACACTTATCGTTGATCCTTTTAGCCTTTTTAAAGGAAAAGGATGAACCGCTTGGGCAAAGCCTGAGTGCATCCAATTGTTCACTGGAGTGGAAGGCAGAACGCACACACACACACACATGCTTGTCTTAGAGAGAGTGCATGTCACTGTGCCCAGTGATCTTCTCTGTCACAAGACAAGTGTCTCTCTCGTTTTCTCTCGTAGTGAGCTGATCACCTGCCAGCTGTCTCTCTGTGCCTGTGCCAGGGCAGCAGCTCCACAGTGTTAATAGGAAGTTGGAGTGCAGGGCATTAGGGGTGTCCTAGGCTAGTATATTTATAGATGGCCTTCTCCATGCAGTAGGGCCATTATTAGAGTATATCTAATTCTATGGCTGGTCTCAGCACTGTGTCCAGCCTGCCTGGAGAAGAAAGCCCAGGGAAACTCTCCCATGATGCAAAGGGAAAAGGGCTGGCCTATCTCTCTCTGTCAGCTTTGCTTGTTGTGGTCCGTCTGACTGGGGTAGAAGTTGTATTCCCAATCCCAGGCAGCACCACAGCACACTATTATTCAGCTGCCTTACGCCTATTTGGGAACAGTCAATCTAAGTTGCTTGTTGATCCTGGTACATTCATTGGATAGTGAGTCTTTATCCCCACCCCTTGGGCTGGACGATTGGAGGAGTCCAGGCAGCAGCCCCTCTGTTGTGTTTCCACAGGTGTGTTAAACACATCCTGACTTCCAATCCCCTCTCCTCCCCTCCCCTGGCCACTGTGGCAGAGGGACCACTAGAGGCCTGCTACAATCTCATAGGCTGAGCTAAAGATGGAACAACTGATTATGGTGCTTCAGGTTCCCCCCCATTATAGAATGGAGGGAAGTGTTCCTCCAACTGGTGGCTACATTCAGAAATGCATGAGGAATTCTGAAAGTCTTCTTCAAGCCACTTGCTGCTGCTGATCCTTCTGTAAATCTTATGGTACAGATGGATACAGGCATGTAGTTCTTTTTACAATATGAATGTGGAAACCTAAGGGTCAAGTCCTGGTCTTAGCAATGTCAGCTCGACATGGTACTTAAAGCTGAAGAGCTTATCTAGTGTTAATTCTCTCCTACCCTGGAAAGAACCCAATCACTAGAACAATACATTCAGTTACACACACTAGCTGGTCTGGCCTGGCCACGCCCCAACCCCACCATTAACCACTGAGCATGGGGTGTCGAAGTGAGACATCATCCACTTTTTATGTCACTATCAATAATTTAACAGGATGACTGGTTGACTGAGCTCACAGTCCGGATACACCAACATGTTCTTCTCTTTTGAAAGCACTGTATGAGACCAGTCTCCTTATGAGATGATTAGGATTTCACTGATGATATCAGTGCATGTGAATATTTAGTGACCCATCAAGGCTCTGCTTAAAGGCATTGTGAGACTCTGTTGGTCAGATGGTCATGTGCATGCCTGTGTGCATGTGTCCTTCTGCCATGCCTACTGCCCTGGTATCTTGGGAGTGATAAATCAGTGCCATTTTGAGTGTGAGGATGCAGTGATGTTCTGTGGTCCAACCAGTTCATCCAGTCCAGAGCAGTCTGGATATTCTATGTACTGCCTGCTTGGGATGGATAACATGACCTACCACTGAGTCACACAGGCTCTATGCAGGGGAGGCAGGCTGGCCGGACGATCACGTTTCAGCCGGGCTACATCTCCACAGCGTTGCCCGCTCGGCCTAATGGAATCAGCGCTTCCTTTTCTCTCCCCGATGCACTCAGCATTCTAAATGTTTAATAGAGACCGCCTCCCTCTCGTGCTCGACCTAAACTTTGACATTTCATTGTAGGGCTGCGTTTCCTAACTCGGTCCTCGGGATCCCAAGGGGTGCACGTTTTGGTTTTTGCCTTAACACTACACAGCTGATTCAAATGATCAAAGCTTGATGATTAGTTGATTATTTTAATTAGCTGTGTAGTGCGAGGGCAAAAACCAAAATGTGCACCCCTTGGGGTCCCGAGAACAGAGTTTGGGAAACCCCGTTGTAAGGCAACATTGTCTGCCACAGTGCTCAGACTGAGAGGGGCCCCTGTCTGAGACAATACACTGGATTGTTCCCGACACATTTCACTTGTGTTTGGAGAGAGTGGGTTGTGAGCAGTGCACAGAATGGCACTGGGAGGCAGCAGAATAGACTTTGAAGCTTTGTGGCGTTATAACGGACAGGAGAGCAAACCATTACATCTGTCATGAATCACGATGAAGATTGGCTTCTAGGAAACCACTCGTTCCTTGCTTAAGCGCTTTTATTACAGGCATGATAGGCCTGGATTATTTTTACACTGGAATAACACATCCACATGATTAGGTCTAGCTTTTGTAAATAATAAAATAATAATCTTTTGAATGGTTTCTCTGAAATTGTCATTTGTTCTAGGCCTATTCCCCAGCAGTTGTCCTTGCTGTGTTTATAGCTCTAGTTGGGCGACGGTTGTTCTAGCGCAGGCATTTTCCTGTTGATTTGTGCGTTGGCAGGGCTGAATGCCCTCCCTCCAGATGTGGGCGGGCTTTGATGAGTCAGCTTCCTGGTTGATCTCTTGTTGCTGCCGCCTCATCCATCAGCCCAATCATTCCCAGGCAAATCCTGCTGTCTAAAACGGCCGAGGACAGGTGTGTGGCTGTGTGAGATCTGCGTTGCTTTCCCACACTCACACCTCCAAGGCCAGCCTGCAGTACTACTAAAGCTGCTGTACCTCTCCTCTCTCTGGCGGGATCGGGGTCTGCCTGCCGGGAGGGGAGCATGTAGTCATTTTGGCACAACTGCCAGCCAAGGAATGGAATGAAGGCCACTGGCGTAGGGTACTGGTCTGGAATGGTGAAGCATAACCTGGAAGTGTATGTGACCTTCGAGGCTGGCCCATAAGGTCATGGTGGCCATGGGGGTCATAAATGGCCATTACCCTTTGTTCTATTCCGCATAGGGAATAGAGTCACTGTTGAACTAGAAGTCTACTCTTCAGAAGGGCATTTTTACTGTGATGACAAACTCCTAAATTCCTCCCAGGCCACACATAAGACCACATGACAGGGTGTGTTGGCAAACATTTTTTGCCTGCACAATATATAATCAACGTTAGCGCCATAGCGCCTGTGTTGACTTCCCACACACGCATGTAGGCTGCTCTACAGTATACAGTGCATTCGGAAAGTATTCAGACCCCTTCCCTTTTTCCACATTTTGTTACGTTACAGCCTTATTCTAAAATTGATTACAAAAAATCTACACACAATACCTCATAATGACAAAGCAAAAACAGGTTTTTAGAATTTTTTGCAAATGTATAAAAAAAAAAAAATTGATTACCTTCTATACATAAGTATTTAGACCCTTTGCTATGAGACTCGAAATTGCTCAGGTGCATCCTGTTTCCATTGATCATCCTTGATGTTTCTACAACTTGATTGGAGTCCACCTGTGGTAAATTCAATTGATTGGACATGATTTGGAAAGGCACACACCCACACCTATCTATATAAGGTCCCACAGTTGACAGTGCATGTCAGAGCAAAAACCAAGCCATGAGGTCGAAGGAATTGTCCATAGAGCTCAGAGACAGGATTGTGTCGAGGCACATATCTGGGGAAGGGTACCAAAACATTTCTGCAGCATTGAAGAACATAGTGGCCTCCATCATTCTTAAATGGAAGAAGTTTGGAACCACCAAGACTCTCCCTAGAGCTGGCTGCCCGGCCAAACTGAGCAATCAGGGGAGAAGGGCCTTGGTCAGGGTGGTGACCCGATGGTCACTCTGACAGAGCTCCAGAGTTCCTCTGTGGAGATGGGAGAACCTTCCAGAAGGTTCTGATTGCTGCACTCCACCAATCAGGCCTTTATGGTAGATTGGCCAGACGGAAGCCACTTCAGTAAAAAAGCACATGACAGCCCGCTTGGAGTTTGCCAAAAGGCACCTAAAGACTCAGACCATGAGAAACAAGATTCTCTGGTCTGATGAAACCAAGATTTAACTATTTGGCCTTAATGCCAAGTGTCACGTCTGATGGAAACCTGGCACCACCCCTACTGAGAGGCATGGTGATGGCAGCATCATGCTGTGGGGATGTTTTTCAGCAGCAGGGACTGGGAGACTAGTCAGGATCGAGGGAAGGATGAACGGAGCAAAGTACAGAGAGATCCTTGATGAAAACCTGCTCCAGAGTACTCAGACTGGGGTGAAGGTTCACCTTCCAACAGGACAACGACCCTAAGCACACAGCCAAGACAAGGCCGGGGTGGCTTCGGGACAAGTCTCTGAATGTCCTTGAGTGGCCCAGCCAGAGCCCGGACTTGAACCCGATCGAACATCTCTGGAGAGACCTGAAAATAGCTGTGCAGCGACGCTCCCCATCCAACCTGACAGAGCTTGAGAGGATCTGCAAGTAAGAATGGGAGTAACTCCCCAAATGCAGCTGTGCCAAGCTTGTAGCATCATACCCAAGAAGACTTGAGGCTGTAATCGCTGCCAAAGGTGCTTCAACAAAGTACTTTGTAAAGGGTCTGAATACTTATGTGATATTTCAGTTTTTAATACATTTGCAAACATTTCTAAAAAATTGTTTTTGCTTTGTCATTATGGGGTATTGTGTGTAGATTGATGAGAAAAAAATATTTAATCAATTTTAGAATAAGGCTGTAACGTAACAAAATGTGAAAAAGTCAAGGGGTCTGAATACTTTCCGAATGCACTGTATCAACATGTCTCTCTAGGCTCATTCATGTCAGCAAATTAAAGCCCCAATATCTTTCTTTAACTACCACCTTTCATGCCATCCTTTTTAGATGGGCCTAATGCTTTTGAAATATATGTGGCTCTTACGTTGGTAAAACAGATGATTAGTAATTAAAGCTTCTTTTTTTTTTACCTTTAGGATGCTAGCATGCTCCCTGTAAGTTCTGTGGTCACATTCATGTATAACATGTGTCACTGCCTGTCTCTTTGTTGCAGAGGGTATTCCTCTGGTGTACTACTTTGGGCCGTGTGGGAAGTACAATGCCATGGTGCTGGAGCTACTGGGGCCCAGCCTGGAAGACCTGTTTGATCTCTGTGACCGCACCTTCTCCCTCAAGACCGTCCTCATGATAGCCATACAGTTGGTAAGAATTTAGCAGTTGTTTACTTGAGTGTCCTACTGGTGCCCAACCCATAGCTTATAAGACTACTTTCAGTGAATATTCACAGTATGTCAGCCACATAATTAGATGGGGAACTATAGGATCACTATGATGTCAGCCATTTCTATTCCTATCGCTGTGTTGTCATTCTCTTGGCTCTCAGAGGTTTACAGCATTTGAAAAGTGTCCTGAGAGAGTTTGAGATCGTATCTTGTCTAAATGCTCTGTGTTCTGCCTCCTAGATAACGCGGATGGAATTTGTCCACACAAAGAGCTTGATATACAGAGATGTCAAGCCAGAGAACTTTTTGGTAGGGCGGCCGGGCAGCAAGAGGCAGCACACAATCCACATTATCGACTTTGGGCTGGCCAAAGAATACATCGACCCTGAGACCAAAAAACACATCCCGTACCGGGAGCACAAGAGCCTTACTGGCACGGCACGCTACATGAGCATCAACACACACCTGGGGAAAGGTGAGAAATTGGAAAGAAGCTGTTTTTTAAACCCTAAAGATGTACCTTTATTCTTGGAACCCTGTCCTGGTTTTATTTGTGTGCTGTTTCTGCGTATGTCATTAAGGAACTCTTCTTCTCCTCTCCTCCAGAGCAAAGCAGGCGGGATGACCTGGAGGCTCTGGGTCACATGTTCATGTACTTCCTGCGAGGCAGCCTTCCCTGGCAAGGCCTGAAGGTATACCGTTTGATGATATCTACATGACCTCAGGCACACACACCATGCTGCTAAGCCCCCTGGTGCAAAATAACTTCTCTCATTCAAGTGATATTTCAAGGTCTGGGACTCAAGAAAGTGTTTACAGTATTTAAAGGGACATTTCAAAATGTTTCAATTTCATACTCATCATCTCCAGCACCACCCCAACATCAACATGTGAAAATGGTGCGTTTCTATGTTTTGTAGTAAAAAAGATAGAGGAAGATAAGTGTTTCCAATGACATCATTAACCAATTAGTGGACAATTAGGAGGCAATTAGTAGTTGGTTAAAATCACATGATACACACCGATGTCATTGAAACTTTTTTACTACAAAATATAGAATCGCGCTATTTTCACATATGTTGATGCTGAGGTGGTGCTTGAGATGATGAATATGAAGTTGAACATTTTTTAAATTTCCCTTTAAGGAAGAGGAAAACATACTAGGGGAAAATACTATGTCAATAGTGCTGCTATAACCATACACTGAAAGGATTTTCACCTCTGAGATTTAAATGTCACTTCCACACTTTCCCTGTGAGGTCCTCTCCACCCAGGCTAGTGTCAAGAAGAGGACCTGCATGGCAGTATATACATTTACATTTTCGTCATTTAGCAGACGCTCTTATCCAGAGCGACTTACAAATTGGTGCATTCACCTTATGATAGCCAGTGGGACAACCACTTTACAATATACTTTTTTTGGGGGGTGGGGTAAGGGGGGGTAGAAGGATTACTTTATCCTATCCCAGTTATTCCTTAAAGAGGTGGGGTTTTCAAGTGTCTCCGGAAGGTGGTGAGTGACTCCGCTGTCCTGGCGTCATGAGGGAGCTTGTTTCACCTTTGGGGTGCCAGAGCAGCGAACAGTTTTGACTGGGCTGAGCGGGAACTGTGCTTCCGCAGAGGTATGGGGGCCAGCAGGCCAGAGGTGGATGAACGCAAGGCCCTCGTTTGGGTGTAGGGACTGATCAGAGCCTGAAGGTACGGAGGTGCCGTTCCCCTCACAGCTCCGTAGGCAAGCACCATGGTCTTGTAGCAGATGCGAGCTTCAACTGGAAGCCAGTGGAGTGTGCGGAGGAGCGGGGTGACATGAGAGAACTTGGGAAGGTTGAACACCAGACGGGCTGCGGCGTTCTGGATGAGTTGTAGGGGTTTAATGGCACAGGCAGGGAGCCCAGCCAACAGCGAGTTGCAGTAATCCAGACGGGAGATGACAAGTGCCTGGATTAGGACCTGTGCCGCTTCCTGTGTAAGGCAGGGTCGTACTCTGCGAATGTTGTAGAGCATGAACCTACAGGATCGGGTCACCGCCTTGATGTTAGCGGAGAATGACAGGGTGTTGTCCAGGGTCACGCCAAGGCTCTTTGCACTCTGGAAGGAGGACACAACAGAGTTGTCAACCGTGATGGCGAGATCATGAAACTGGCAGTCCTTCCCCAGGAGGAAGAGCAGTTCCGTCTTGCCGAGGTTCAGCTTGAGGTGGTGATCCGTCATCCACACTGATATGTCTGCCAGACATGCAGAGATGCGATTCGCCACCTGGTTATCAGAAGGGGGAAAGGAGAAGATTAATTGTGCCTTCAGAAAGTTTTCACACCCCTTTTCTTTTTCCAGATTTTGTTTTTACAAAGGGGAATTAAAATGAATTTAATTGTCGTTTTCTATAAACGATCTATATAAAATACTCTGTAGTGGAAGAAAAATTAGAACATTTATGAAAAATAAAGCACTAATATACAGTTGAAGTCTGAAGTTTACATACACCTTAGCCAAATACATTTAAACTCAGTTTTTCACAATTCCTGACATTTAATCCTAGTAAAAAAATCCCTGTTTTAGGTCAGTTAGGATCACCACTTTATTTTAAGAATGTGAAATGTCAGAATAATAGTAGAGAGAATGATTTATTTCAGCTTTTATTTATTTCATCACATTCCCAGTGGGTCAGAAGTTTACATACACTCAATGAGTATTTGGTAGCATTGCATTTATATTGTTTAACTTGGGTCAAACGTTTCGGGTAGCCTTCCACAAGCTTCCCACAATAAGTTGGGTGAATGTTGGCCCATTCCTCCTGACAGAGCTGGTGTAACTGAGTCAGGTTTGTAGGCCTCCTTGCTCGCACACGCTTTTTCAGTTCTCCCCACACATTTTCTATAGGATTGAGGTCTGGGCTTTGTGATGGCCACTCCAATACCTTGACTTTGTTGTCCTTAAGCCACTTTGCTACACATTTGGAAGTATGCTTGGGGTCATTGTCCATTTGGAAGACCCATTTGCGACCAAGCTTTAACTTCCTGACTGATGTCTTGAGATGTTGCTTCAATATATCCACATACATTTCCTTTCTCATGATGCCATCTATTTTGTGAAGTGCACCAGTCACTCCTGCAGCAAAGCACCCCCACAGCATGATGCTGCCACCCCCATTCTTCACGGTTGGGATGGTGTTCTTCGGCTTGCAAGCTTCCCCCTTTTTCCTCCAAACATAACAATGGTCATTATGGCCAAACAGTTCTATTTTTGTTTCATCAGACCAGAAGACATTTCTCCAAAAAGTACGATCTTTGTCCCCATGTGCAGTTGCAAAGCGTAGTCTGGCTTTTTTATGGCGGTTTTGGAGCAGTGGCTTCTTCCTTGCTGAGCGGCCTTTCAGGTTATGTCGATATAGGACTCGTTTTACTGTGGATATAGATACTTTTGTACCTGTTTCCTCCAGCATCTTCACAAGGTCCTTTGCTGTTGTTCTGGGATTGATTTGCACTTTTCACACCAAAGTACGTTCATCTCTAGGAGACAGAACGCGTCTCCTTCCTGAGCGGTATGACAGCTGCGTGGTCCCATGGTGTTTATACTTGCGTACTATTGTTTGTACAGATGAACGTGGTACCTTCAGGTGTTTGGAAACCAGACTTGTGGAGGTCTACAAATCTTTTTCTGAGGTCTTTGCTGATTTCTTTTTGATTTTCCCATGATGTCAAGCAAAGAGGCACTGAGTTTGAAGGTAGGCCTTGAAATACATCCACAGGTACACCTCCAATTGACTCAAATGATGTCAATTAGCCTATCAGAAGCTTCTAAAGCCATGACATCATTTTCTGGAATTTTCCAAGCTGTTTACAGGCACAGTCAACTTAGTGTATGTAAACTTCTGACTCACTGGAATTGTGATACAGTGAATTATAAGTGAAATAATCTGTCTGTAAACAATTGTTGGAAAAATTACTTGTCATGCACAAAGTAGATGTCCTAACCGACTTGCCAAAACTATAGTTTGTTAACAAGACATTTGTGGAGTGGTTGAAAAACGAGTGTATGTAAACTTCCGACTTCAACTGTATCTTGATTAGATATGTATTCAACACCCTGAGTCAATATATGTTAGAATCACTTTTGGCAGTGATTACAGCTGTCTTTCTGGGTAAGTCTCTTAAGAGCTTTGCACACCTGGATTGTACAATATTTGCACATGATTCTTAAAAAAATTATTCAAGCTCTGTTAAGTTTGTTTTTGATCATTTCCAAGTTTTGCCATAGATTTTCAAGCCAATTTAAGTCAAAAATGTAACTAGGCCACTCGGGAACATTTAAATGTCTTCTTGGTAAGCAACTCCAGTGTATATTTGGCTTTGTGTTTTAGGTCATTGTGATGTGGCAAAATCGTCCTTATTCTGATCAAAGAGCCAAAGTATTTCAAGAGTTTTTGTAGAATTAAGATATACTTTATTACAATAGACAAAGCCAAGGTGGTTTGCAAAGCATCTCCCTTCTACCTCCCAGCTCTCAGTTTATATAGTCATTTCACATACATTTTAGCATAACCCCTCCATCTTGACCACTCCGCACACTTCCTTAGTCTATGATAGTGGTGAAGTCTGACTTCCCCTCCTATGTATGCACAAATAACAGCCCCGTCATGTAAAAATAATCATGTTCAGTTTGAACTCTGTTCAACCCTGGCTTGACCTGGAGATTGATTGTTGGACGTAGCAGGTCCACAATCAATCTCTCAAACATACCCAAGCCCAACCCCTCTCTCCCCTCTCGTCATGCTGTAATTAATCAAGAAGATACCCAAGGAGAGACAAAGGGTTTAGCCTGAACTCTGTTCAATCCTAACTCCATTCCCGTAATATGCCTTAGGATAGAGGCAAAGGATAACGCTCTGGTTTCAGTCACTGATAAATCAGGACAGCCTTGGATTAGGTAAGAGCGAGGAATTCGACCCGAGGTCAGATCCCCATTTCACACACACACAAACCCAGTGAGAGGTATTAATTAAGTTCTTGCTTAGCAACAGCAATGTACCCATGTTTAACCCTGGCTCTGTGTTCGTCATGTTGTATTAACTTTGTTTATCTTATAGTTTATTGAAAAATCCTCATCATATCCCCCATTTGGGACTTAATAGTCCCATATCAATACATCCAAATACTTCAAAAGTATATAGTGATTAATATATGAATACTGTGACATAAAAATCAACATTTTCATGATATAAGGCACAATCCTTGCATTAATATTATATTTTTCAAACAGTAAGATTCAAAAGTTTCTACTCGAATGTGTATCCTAACACATTAAAACAAACGTAGCGTTGTTTTAACCATAATATCTATTTAAGGCAGTTATCTTGCGATTGTATACGCAATACCAGGGCATGTTGAGAATAGTGTCAACATAACTTCTTTACCTATATCACAAGTAGTATAACAATCAAAAGAAGCAATATCAATATCTAATATATTAATTGCAGTGTCAACATCTTTAGTTATTAACATATTCATAACTTACTCAAATGAATCAGTCAGCTTACAACTCATAATCATAATCAAATGAATTATCCAAAACAAATTTAGAATGACAATTCTTAGTGATTTCACATTGGTCCTATGTTAAAATCCTCAATTTAGCACCCATTGACACTGGCAGA